CTAAGTTTGGGGGACAATTGCTAACCTGAAGTGGGGCCTGGGCCTTAGGGGCACATTAGAAACAAACAGATGAGGAAGAGTGTGGGGAAAAAGGAGGAAGAGGAAGGAGAAAGAAAACAGGAGGGGGAAAAAGACTAGGAAGTATTTCTCATTAGAAAGACAGCATCTTGCCAGGAGCTGGTGGCATGCTCCTTTAATCCAAGCACTCGGGAGGTAGAGGCAGGCAGATCTCTGTGAGTTCCAGGCAGCTTGGTCTACAGAGCTAGTTCCAGGACAGGACAGGACAGTACAGTACAGGACAGGACAGGACAGGACAGGGTCCAAAGCAATATAGAGAAACCCTGTCTTGAAAAACCAAACCAAAAAAAAAAAAAAAAAAAAAAAAAAAAAAAAAAAAAAAAAAAAAAAAAACCAGCATCTTTAGTAATCTGGAGACCTCTAGTGGACAAGTATATTATTAACTGCTTTAACTTTAAAGTAGTTTTCAAAGCAGGATACCATCTGGGCAGTGGTTCACTTACTGTGATTCATACTTAGTTAAAGATTGGATAGATGAGAAACCACAGACTTGCAAACTTCCCTCTGTGTCCTAAGCTGAGCAAAAAAGATCTTGTGTGTGATCTTATTCACAGATTTTTTGGATCCTATTAATGGAAACTGACCAGTCGGAAAAAGTACATGTTACTTAGCCTTTAATGTTCTTTTGAAAAATGATACTTAGTTAGGATTTCTATTGCTCCGAAGAGATACCATGGCCATAGCAATTCTTATAAAGGAAAACATTTAATTGAGGTGACAGCTTCTAGATTATCATCAAGGTGGGACATGCAGGCATACAGGCAGACATAGTGCTAGAGTTGACAGTGCTACATCTTGCAGGCAACAGGAAGTAGACTGAGTGTTACACTGAGTGAAGCTTGAACAAAAGAGACCTCAAAGCCTGCCCCCCACAGTGACACACACTTCCTCCAACAAGGCCACACCTACTTTGACAAGACCATACCTCCAGTAGTGCCACTCCTTTTGGGAGCCATTTTCCTTGAAACCACAACAGAGAATAAATGTAAACGATATAGGTATTTGTATGCCTCTGGTGGGTAGGAAGCAAAGATCAGTAAATGATTAACAGTACCTTGTTATCTACACACCTTGAGGGATATTGCATGCAGGATGCTGTGGGAAGGGGCTATAAAAGGCTTTGAGTTAGGGAGGAGCCATGTGAACTGGGATGGGCACTGGTAAGCTTAGTAACCGTGGAGGCAGGTGGTGGCTGAAAGAAACTAGTGGTTTGTCACACAGGCTGCCATGCTTAACACCTTTGCTTGTCAAACCATGTGGCTTGTCTCTAGTGGTTTAGATTTATTTCCCCCAGCTCACTTCTCTGTTAGGCTCCATAGTCAAGGCTAAAATTCTGCAGGCAGTCTGTGTCTATACCACGGCAACATGTCTTATGGACGAACCATCTCCCCAGTGCCTCTTAATTTACGGCCTCCTCTCCATCCCTGTAGCCTCCACTTTACTTCAGATACTCACCATTGTTTGGATCATGTCAAGCTTTTTAACTGACATCCCTTCCTGACTTCATTGTATAGCCTGTCACCTTTCAGCCAAGCATCTTCTGTCCTTCAGGATGAAGTCCTTCAAGGCAGATCACAATTAGGGCCTCCTCCCACTTCTGCCTCCAGCACACAGCCCATTCATGCTGAGCTCCGAGGAAGATGCCTCAGGATCTCTGTCTCTTACTGTGTTCTCAAACTCGGTTTTCCTTCTGTTCTCATTTATTTTTCACCTTCTGTTTGACCTTTTCCCCTCATCTGGCCTCTCTTCCCTCTTTCTCTGTCAACAGCCAGGTCCCTGATCGTCTTCATACTCATCACATATTATACAGACACCACTTAACACATTCCTTCCACTGTGTTAAATACAGACTTACTGTTTATTTCCTCTGAACTCTCAGAACTACACAGGGCCAGGCCTTCTCATGGCCATAGCCCTAGAAGCTGATATCCCATCTCTAGGGTAGAGAAAACATTCAGTATGGGGTTGCTGGATGAATGCATTTTTGTAGACAACACATGCTGCCTGTGGGAGGAGCCATTAGAACATGAAAGTGGGAGGAAACACAGGCTCCTGTGTCTAAGAGGATTTCAGGGACTTTTGTACTGAAGTTTTATCATTTAAAAAACTGTTGATGCATAATGCTAGAGTGATGTAGAAAACTGACCATACACAGATGTACAGATAGGATTTTACAAATGGCACAGCCATGTTGCCAACACCCTTGCAAAGACATGGGCCAGGACCAGATCTCCAGGAAGCTCCGACAGTTACTACTCTTATCTCCCTGCCCCATCTACGTTTTGAACACGTTGGACCTCATACATCAGTCCAGTCAAAGTCTAAAACTCTTGTAAAAGGAGAAATCCAACGTGTATACTTCTGTGTGTGGCTTCATTCACTCAGCATTCAATTATCCATCATGCAGTCTCACTGCTGTGAGGAAGGCTGATCTCTGTGAGTTCAAGACCAGCCTTGAACTACAGAGCTAGTTCCAGGACAGGCTCCAAAGCAACAAAGCAATACAGACAAACTCTGTCTTGAAAAAACAAAACAAACAAACACACAAACAAAAAAACAAAAAAAGAGAGACAGAGACAGAGAGACAGAGACAGAGAGCCCTAGAAATCTCATTGCTGTATCTTGTTGCCTGAATATAACTTACCTATTCTGTGGATGGGTATTCAAGAGGCACTCTTTTTCTTTTTTTTTTTTCCTTTGATGTACTATTGATGAGTACATTATATATGTCTTTATGTGAACATAAAATATGAATTCTTATTTGGTGAAGACCGAGGGGAATTGCTGACCTAGCACCTGGATATTTTTTCAATGTTAATAGATTATGCTAACAGCTTTTTGTATTTTATCACTCCCGAAAGTGATTAGTATATGTTCATCTTAGTACACACGAGAATTCTGGTGTTTCATGTCCTTGCCAACTGGCAAAGTTTTTCCTTATTTTTTTTTTTTTTGAGATAAGTTTTCTTTGTATCTTTGGAGGCTGTTCTGGAACTAGCTCTTGTAGACCAGGCTGGTCTTGAACTCACAGAGATCCGCCTGCCTCTGCCTTCTGAGTGCCACCACCACCCAGCCATATCTGAATGTTCTTAATCCCCTTAAATAAAATGAATCCTATATTTGTACACACACACACACACACACACAGAGTTTAATAATTCCTCTATTTAAAATGAGGACTCAGTTTATTTGTAGATATGATACAAGTACTATTGAGTTTTTCTATATAAAACCTCCAAGTGTACACATTTCTTTATTTTGATCATATTTTCAAAGAAAAAAAATGCATCTTCCTTTTAAAGCATAGTTCATAGATTAACTACTGAATGAAAGCTTGTCCCTTTTCCTTCCTCTATCTTTCGCTGCTCAAAAATTTTGGAAGTTATTTAACCAAGTAGAGAGGAACAACAAACTTTGTTTGAAGGTTGGTTTATCTGTCTGAGACAGTCTCACTATATAATCTAAGTTGGCCTGGAACTCAGGATCCTCCTGCCCCAGCTTCCCAAGTGATGAGATACAGGCTGGGCTTTATAAAACTATTTTTTTTGTTGTTTTGTTGTTGCTATTTTTCAAGACAGGGTTTCTGTGTATAGCCCTGGCTGTCCTGGAACTAGCGCTATAAACGAGGATGGCCTTGAACCCTCAGAGATTTGCCTGCCTCTGCCTCCCAGTGCTGGGATTAAAGACCTGCACCACCACCACCTGGCTTATAAAACTACTTTCAAATATAAAATATTTTTAGAGGTGAAGATTATACACAATAATCACAAAGGAATGATTATATAAAAAGAAAAACACTATGCAGGGTGGTGGTGGCGCACACCTTTAATCCCAGCACTCGGCAGAGGCAGGCAGATCTCTATGAGTTTGAGACCAGCCTGGTCTACAAAAGCGAGTTCCAGGACAGGCTCCAAAGCCACAGAGAAACCCTGTCTTGAAAAACCAAACAAAAACAAAAACAACAAAAAAAAATACTGTTAAGTAAAATGTCTATGAAACAGGAAAAATGTTTCTAGACTTATGTGTAATTTGGTTTGGTTTCCTATTTTTTATTTTTAAGATAGAGTTTCTCTGTGTAGCCCTGGCTGTCTTGAAACTCACTTTGTAGACCAGCTTGGTCTCAAACTTACAGAGATCAGTCTGCCTCCACCTCCAAGCGCTGGGATTAAAGGCACCAGCACAGCCCAGCTTGGGTTCCTATTTCAGTGAGTGTGCTCATCTTTGTCTTATTACAGTACAGGAATCGTCCTTTCTATTTGAACACAGGGACCCTCTGCACTAGGGTTTTTGGGATTCTTCAAGGTGTAGGTCATGAACCAGTTCATCTTTGCTTAGCATCTATCCCAAAATCACTTTGCAGTAGTAAAAAGAATAGCAATTTTGACTAGAACTATAGGATGAACATGGGCTGGAACTTTATTAGCTTTGTCCCGTACTCTCTGAGATCTTGGGGAATTTGAGATAGATCTCAATGTGTAGCCCCGGCTGTCCTGGAACTCACTGTGTCGACCAGGCTGGCTGCGAACCCAGAACTCTGCCTGTCTCTGTGATTCATGTCAGCCTTTTAAGCTTTACTTTCCCTACCTGTAAAATGAGAAAAGACAAGCCACCTTGTAAGTTCTTGGAGTGGTGACAGGTAGAAGGAAAATGTGGATAGCTTTTTTTTTTTTTTTTTTTTTTTTTTTCTTTTTTTGATTTTTCAAGACAGGGTTTCTCTGCGTAGGCATGGCTGTCCTGGAACTCACTCTGTAGACCAGGCTGGCCTCGAACTCATACAAAAGCACCTGCCTCCAAAGAATTCTTTAGAAGAAAAGATTTCTTTTCCTCCAAGTTATTAAACAAGCAACAACAACAACAACAAAAATGTGTGCTAACATCGTTCTGTATATGGTCTCATGATTCCCAACTTCCTTTCTATTTAGGGTTGACAACTTTGGCCTGGGCCTTTTACTTCGATCTAAACAAATAAAACGCATGGTCTCGTCATACGTGGGAGAAAATGCAGAATTTGAGCGACAGTTCTTGTCTGGTGAATTAGAAGTGGAGCTGACACCTCAGGTGAGGAAATGCCTCTGCCTTTGTTTCACATTTACCACCTTATAGAAAAGTTCCTTCTGGTCTTCTTAAATGTTATTGTTGTTCCAGACAGAGAGATTTTTTCAAACCAAGGGACTTTGTGTTTGGATTGCTCCTGTTGACTCTAGAGGACTAATGTTTTCTGTGACTATGGAAGGTTAGGGTTTTTCTAAGTAGAAAACATTCACACTACTGGATAGCATTTTAATACGTCACTTAAGTGTACATTGTGCCAGAAGCAAACAAAAGGACTTGCTAAAATGTATGAGATTGTCCTAAAAGTCACTTTTTATGAATCGCAGTGTCGGAAATATCTGAATGGTCAAATCTTGCTGACTCATGTCACAGAGTGAAGCCTGTTGGAGGGTGACACTGCTCACAGAGCCAACACTGGGCTCAGAACCCAGGCTTTCGGGGACTGATAATGTGACAGAGCCAGCCATTTGTGCAATTCATGCATCAAGTCTGCACTTGTTTTCCATGTCTCCTAATCTATTGAAGGCAACCTTTGAAGCCCTTTGGGGAAAGCAAGGCTCTACATGCCCAGTGTGTCGGTGTTCCTCTTCGACACTCTGCCTTTGCTCTGTAACTGAGCTCACCATTCCATTCTGCCTCAGGGTAATGTTACTTTAGAATTTTGTCAAGTTGATAAGGTGGAATGTTGCCAAATTTTGCAAAAGGAAATGATCAGGCCTGCATAGAGGACTGTCACACCTGGTTACCTACAGCACTGTCATTCCTGTTAAAGAGCTGCAGTGTGTTCAACATGACTCAGCTTTCATTTAAAGTTTTGTGAATGAACAGATATATGCATTTCAGGTCTCCTTAGGTTTCTATAAAAAACAAAAACAAAAACAACAAACTAAAATCCCTCCATAGGCTGGGTAGCTCAAACTATAGCAATTTGTTTCTCACAGTTAAAACAGATGGAAAGTCCAATATCAGCGAGCCAGTCCAGTTCCTAGTGAGTCTTTTCCTGGCTTCTGATGGCTGATGTCTTGCTTTGTCCTCTTGCAGCATAGAGATGAGCAAAGTGAGCTCTCTGGTGTCTTTTTCATATAATGGCAATGATCCTACTATAGCAGGGCCTATTTTTTACAGGTTATTTCCATCTTAAATATCCCCTTGTACCCCTATCACATAAAAGGTTAGTGTTTCAACTTCAATATTTAAGGGACACACAGTCCAGACCATCCCCTGTAGTTGGGGATATAACAACCTTAACTAAGGTGCCACATCATCTAGGTTGTGTAGTTACTGAAGATGAACTTTTACTCATGTATTATCTCTATTTTGTCAGAGGCCACATACATGGGAGAGGAACTTCCTAACACTTACTAAATTGGTTTTCTTTAAATTAGAAGAAGTTAGTGTTTCCTTTCTCAACCAAGTGGTGTACCTTCCTCTCCTATCTTCCTTTGCAGCATCAGAGCTGGGATAGGATGACATCACTGCTGAAGTGAAGGGGTTGGCACTCCTTCTGGGTAGGGAAGTTGACATCTGAAGGGGTCTTGTCTTCATATATATTCTCAGTTCAGGCTTTGGGCCAGAGGGCAGAGAGATGGAGAGAGTGTTTGAAGAAGGGTAAACAAAAAATATTTTAAAATGAGGAGTGTTGTTATGACTGTTTTAAATATTTAATTTTTGAATGTTATTGTCTTAAAATATAGTGCAAATAGGGCCACTTGTCTGTTTGGTGGAACAGAGACCAGTTAGCTGAGGACTTCAACTTATGTAGCTCATGAAGTTCCCTTTTCTTCAAAGTGTTCCATGTACTCAGATAGCTCATCCTGACTGTTAGTCCCTTTGTTAAGCATTCAGAGACCCCAGTTAGTGCAGAGTTCTTAGGTTGGGATAGTGTAAATAGTGCCGTCGATAACTATGTTGATTCTGACTTCTGATTGCCCAATTTCTTGCCTAGTAAGCATGGTGTAGTAGTGTCCCAGAAGTGGTTTCAGAATGAGAGTGAAGGAGAGAAAGAAGAAAGGCACACATAGCTTTTACCAATACTTGTTCCTATGGTGAAATAAAATTTGAAGTTGTAAAAATACTAGCTTTTTACAAAATTGTAAGTATATATTTAAGTTTATTGTTATTATTATTATTATTGTTGTTGTTGTGTGTACAGACATGTACATGTCATATGCACCAATGTGGTCGGTCAAAGGACACTTTCAAGAGTTGTTTCTCTCCTTGCACTGTGGATTTGAACTCAGGTTATTAGGCTCCTGTGGTGTCTTAGTTACTTTCTATTGCTGTGACAAAATGCTAGGATCAAAGCAACTTATAGAAAGAGAGTGTTTAATTTGGGTTGCATGCTTGCAGAGGGTCAGAGTCCATGGCCATCATGGCGTGAAGAATGGCGGTAGGCAGACAGGAAGATATAGTGGCAGAGCAGTATCTGAGAGCTTATCCTCAAAAGAAGGTAGAGAGAGCTCACTGGGAATGGCTGGGCATTTGAAACCTCAAAGCCTGACCCCAATAATACACCTCCTCCAAGTCCACACCTTCTGATCCTTCCCAAATAGTTCTGCCTACTGAATTCAAATATATGAATGGCCTATGGCAGCCACTCTCACTCAAACCACCACATGTAGCAAATACATATCACTGGTGAGCCATCTTGCTCTTTCATTCCTAGCTTTTTAAAGCTAGTTTACTCATATGCTAGCATTCACTTGAATTTTCCTTGCTTAGATATCTTCTTAAACAAAATCTGTATGGAAGTGATTTAAGAAATATTTTAAAGTAAATTTAAACTTTTTTTGAGGACCGTTACATAGCCCTGGTTGGCCTCGGACTTCTTATGTAACTCTTGCCTACCTTAAACTCATGGCAATCTTCTTGCCTCAGCCTCCGTAGTGTTAAAATCAAATATTTTTCACCCTGCCTGGCATACCCATTGTTACTAATGATATGATAATATAAGTTTACATTTACATGCAGTGCATGGTAAAACAACATTTAACATTTAAAAATATATGAATAGTTACATTTCTATAATTAATTTTTAAATTTGATTTCAAAATATTAAAGTAGACATTGGTAGCATATGAGGTCAAGAGACTGGTGGGGGTGGAGCGTGGGAACTGGAAGCATGACTAGACAAGTGAACAGTTGTGTTTGACTGTGGATTGAGGATGGAATGGTCATTGTCTTTGAACAGATGCCTCGGGTTGGGGATTTCCGAGCACGTACATTGCTGTACACTTTGCAGGATGGCGAGAGGGAACCATATCTAACAGTGTCTGTATTCACCATCCCAAGTGCGCTTTGTAGACACCTCATGGATTCTGGTTGCTTATTCGTAGGGTACGCTTGCAGAGAGGATCCGTGCTGGCGGAGCTGGAGTACCTGCCTTCTACACTAGCACAGGGTATGGGACCCTGGTACAAGAAGGAGGATCACCCATAAAATACAACAAAGATGGCAGTGTTGCCATTGCCAGCAAGCCACGAGAGGTAAGAAACTCCTCACCCACATGACCCAATGAGACCGCTTTTCTCATGATTCTGTGTGGACTTATTTGATCAACAGTCTCACTTTCAAAAACGTGAGGCTTGTAGCTAAACCTGTGTATCTGTTCATATTTAAAGATCACAGAGGGAAACTAGAATAAATTAGAATAAAAGAAGCCACAATCACTATACATTATATTATAAGTAGGGTTGTGAACTGTCTTTCTGAAAGGTCTTAATGAAAGTGAGAACATTTACCATAGATGATTATGCTTCCATTAAAAACAGAGCAAAACAAAACCCCACAGAAGTTGTTTACTGTGTGTTGTGTTAAGGTAGTGTCCTCAGGTTCTTCCTAAGGTGATGGAAGAAAATAAAGTAACAAAAGAAATCTTAAGGGTATCTGAAATCTTACAGAATGGGGCACAATTATAATTATATAATGGAATAGAGAGTTGAAGCGATCACTTTCATATTATGCATCTTAGACATAGGCTAAGCCTTTCACTTTTCACTGCCCTGTGCTTAAACTGTAAGGTAGGAGGGAGTGCTTTAGAGTGAGCAACTTTACTCACATTAGACAACAGTAGACCTCTAGTTAGAGTATTTGACATAGTTAGATTGGAAGTAATTTTAAAAAATATGCAAGCCAATACATTATTCTGAAATTAAAACTGTCTCTCCATTCTCATTGTCCCTATGGCTCACAGAGTATAGTTGCTAGTGGCGGTTGCAGCAACGCTGGGCTACACCCCTAGGGAGGTGAACTGGTCAATGAAGGGTTGCCCCAGTACTGGGAACTTAGTGCTGAGGGTTTGGTTGCTGTTCTGGGGAGAGAAGGGGCTGGTGATCATGCCCTCACTGTCTGACCATCTGGAGCCTTGCCCCTTCCTTGGGAGTGACCTGTGTTGATTCAATCTTTTATTCTATTATTATTATTATTTGGTTTTTTGAGAGTTTCTCTGTATTGTTTTGGAGTCTGTCCTGGAACTAGCTCTGTAGACCAGGCTGGCCTGGAACTCACAGAGATCCGCCTGCCTCTACCTCCCGAGTGCCTGGATTAAAGGTGTGCATCACCAACACCCTGCTATTCCAGTATTTTTTATATTTGTTCTTGCTTTCCCACTGCCTAATTAGGTTAAAACATTTCTTGATCACTAGGAACTAAATGAAAATGAATCTTAGGAGCATATAATAAAAGTACCCTGAAAAATTGGATTAGCAGTTTGATAGCTTGTTAGAAAGTATCACTTTAACTCACCTCAAGAGAACATGGAAGGCTAGACTCCTTTCTGACTTTTTTGCCTTGAGCCTGGTAATTTTATGTAAAACTCAATCTGTCTTTGATCTTTATTTGTTTGTCTCTCACTCCATTCCTGCCTTCCTCAGTCTCTGTGCTCTCTCTGTAGTCTGCCCACTGTCTGCTCACTTATCACTGTAGGCTAAGTGGTGAGAAGCGAATGGAGAATTTGAGTGGGCTTATGAGTGTGAGTGTCCTAAGTTTCATCTTCTAAAGATCACTCTGACTGTTGTGTTGATGGGAAGGTTTCTGGTTTTGTTGTTCTGAACAGGCCGACGTTAGAGAAGATAGGAAGGCCATGCATTGATCCTGGTGGGAACAGACATTGGCTGAGATAAGTAGAGTTTGTGCAAACTGATTAGAATCAAGGCAGATGTTGATAATGGAGCCACAGCATGTGACAGAAATCAAGATTGCTGCTTGCTTATTGAGATGGCCAAGACATGGGTCTATCAAAGAGCTCTGTCTGTTGGCAAAGTGGTGGGAGTCTCAAGAGCAAGTACTTGGTGACTCAGGTCAGAACATTTGCAGAACAGGTGTAAGACCCTAATTCTGGGGTCCTGATGGGCCAATGGGAGAGCTCCGCGACACAAACACCAAAACCAGGAGATGCAACAAGCAAGAGGTGTTTATTGAACGTGTGCACACTCGGGTGTCAGCAATCAAAGGGTTTAGGCTCTTTTCATAGAGAAAAACCACAAATCAGCATACATGCATGGGGCACAAGGTGATTGATTACAAAGTATGATCTCATGTTTGAGAGGTCACCCAGGTGTGACCTGTTTTTCTTCAAAGGAAAAACTACAGAATGACTTGGAAAGTCCCCAGACTGTTCGTTGGCCAGGAGTGACCCAGAAAGGACCATTCATCTGGAATCATTTGTTCCAGGGTTGGGACCTATTTCTTTGTTGTGGGCCAAGACCTATGAGAAACTTCAGTTATTCCACAAATGATTGATGATTCAGTAACTAGCCCTATTCAACAAGATCAGCCTAGCATATAACCACTAGCCCCATCACCACAGTAACTTTTTTTATTCTCATAATTCCTGATCTTTCCACCCATGTCAATGTCCATTCTTTGTGATTTTCTATATTCTGCTTGCAAGAACTATTCTTCTTACCTCCCCTGCCCCTTTTCTACATCCTTGCTCTGCAAACTAAAGTCTTTCACAGAAGGCATGCTATGTGGCCATTAAAACCTTAGGACTAGGCAGTGTCCTGGGCCATTGTGAAGATAGAGAGCAGCTCTTTAATAGTTAAAGGCCAGGCACAGGAGGGAGAGCTACAGTGGAAAGAGGGGAGAGAGGCCCAGAGGAATGCCAGGGGAGCCTGGTGATTTGAAAGATAAAAGAAGCTGGGTGGGTCAGGATGGCAGCCAGCGGCTTACATCAAGCTGCTGCCACAGCCAGCAGCACATCAGTGAAGCCCATTTTTAGTGGTGACCTGAATGAGGCCAAGCGGAGGGTGCACAAGCTCTACTGCGCTTGGTATCAGGAGGTGCCAAACACTGCACTTATTCCAGCTGGACATCACTGTGAAACAGGGACGGGATAAAGTCCAAGAAATGTTCATGAAGAAGCTCATGTCACAGACCCCAGAGTAGTTGATCTCCTGGTCATTAAGGGAAAGATGGAGCTCTGGGAAACCATCCACGTGTGCAAGCAGCGGACATACAAATACTGAGGCCAAAGGACTTCCTGTCCAAGTTCTATATTGGCCATGACCCATGAGGTCACCCAATGGGAAGGTGCCTTAATATTTAATTATTTTAGAGTACAAATAAACTCATTATTTGATGGTTGCTTTGTGAAAAAAATAATAATAGCTGGGTCAAAGGAAGGATGAGGAATAGACTTTAACAGGAGCATGCAGAAATGGAGGTCACTGGCAAGATCTGATGGAAATGGATTCAAGAAGAACCTAAAGATGAAATGTAGGCCAAATGCCCCATTTGAAATGAGCACAGTAATAAACTTGGTAAAGGCAGTTGCTTCCCTCTTTGAAGTTTAGAACAGTCAACACTGGGAAACATATTTAGAAAACACTTTCGTTTTCTACATCTCAAGCATCATCACCGGTGGATTTTTGTTTGCTTTTTTTTTGTGTGTGTGTGTGTGTGTGAAAGTTTTGTTCTGGGGTTTTTGAAGCTCTGTAGGCCAGGTGTCTCTTGATCTCCCAGCAGTCCTCTTGCCTCTGCCTCTTAAGTGCTGTGAGTATAGGCATGTGCCACTACTTGCCTCGTCATTGATGTTCGCGGCGATGGCTTTTGAAAGTCACAAACCTTTAAAATAACATTTTATGTTGATGTGCAACTAACCTCATATAATTTCATATTAGTGCAGTCATCATCAGTGGTTCTCCTAGTTCATATGTTCTAGCAAGAAACTGGGATATCTTTGAAGAAACTTTAAGAAACAATCTGTTTGAAACGCTTAACTTTAAAAGTAAAGTTAGAGCTGGTTGTAGCTGCACATGCCTTTAATCCCAAAACTAGGGAGGCAGAGGCATGAATATCTCTGAGTTCAAGGCCAGCATGGCCTGCAGAGCAAGTTCCAGGACAGCCAGGGCTACACAGAGAAACCCTGTCTTGAAAAATCAAAATAGATAGATAGGTAGATAGATAGATACCCCCTCCTAATCATCCTCTAAAAGATTGGAACATGGCTCAGTGACAGAGTACATGGCAATGCACATGAGACAGGTTTAATTCTGAGTACCATCCCCCAACAAAACAAAGCAAAAAGTAGCTGACCCTCACCTCTGTGTTAGATCTGTCTAGAAACATATCCAGCCTACTTTCCACTAGAGGGCGCAGTGGGAACACTATTAGAATTCTGCCTTCACAGAGCTGCATTTGTACTGGAGGGATCCAGTACTCAGTGGTGGTGTTTCAGTTCTCTGTTTAATTCAAAAAGGCAAATCTCCAAGGGGGCAAAGATGGGAAGAACAAAATGTCAAAGGAGAGTTTGGTTTTATGTTCTCTCCCAAAAGGCAGTAAACATTTAAAAAAAAGTTAAAAGTGTCGTGTTATGTCAGTAAGACTGATGACGTGCAATAAGTTAAAACCAGCATTCATAGTGGCAAAGAAAGCAAGAAGTTCCTATGAGTAAATGCAGAAATCGTCGAGATTTTATGTGAAGAAAATCTATCAAGGACGGTAAACGGAGATGTGAATAGAAGGAAACCTGCTTCCTGCCCATGCAGATAGAAGGTCACTGGTTCTTTTTCAATTAATTTACTTTTTCTGTGATCATCAATTATCTCAACAGTAATTATAGATCACAGATTATTGAGAAACAATAGATAAGCCATTTCATATAATGCACACATTTTCAGAAGGAAAGAGGGGCTATATTCCACATCCCAAATGTAACCAAGGCACACAGTCAAATGGATATTGACATACTTTACCACTTAAGACTTGTGGAGGGTTAGTTCCTCAAATGTACTAAACTTGCCCTTGTGGGGCCTATTCACATTCTCTTCCTGAAGCCTTCCTGGACTATTTTGAGAAAGCCTTATGCTACTGAGGAAGTCTCGTGAGGCTCCTCTCCCTGAGAAAGCCTCCTTCGATAGGCTTATGTTCCTAGTGGGTCCCTCTGCAGAACACAGCATGGAGTACAATCATACAAATCCCGCACAAATATCTGACAGTGAGTCTTTATTTCCTGCAGGTGAGGGAGTTTAACGGTCAGCACTTCATTTTGGAGGAAGCAATCACAGGAGATTTTGCTTTGGTGAAAGCCTGGAAAGCAGACCGGGCAGGAAATGTGATTTTCAGGTATTGTTAAAAAACAAAACAAAACATACTAGGCATGTGCCTTGCTTGTTGAGCTCCCACTCTCACCTCCTGCCTTCGGTAAAAAGGAAGCTATACCTCAGATGGAGTGTTTGCCTAGGGTTCTATGTTCCATCCTTAGCACTTCAACAGAATGTATGTAATGTATGTCAACAGGTATGTGTTTTGTAGATTATGACAGCAGAAATGAATATTGCAATGAGTTGCTGTGACAGTCTGACCATTTTAAAATCACTTAGTCATACATGCCTGTGTATATACTTGTGTCCAGAAGTGCATGTAGTCCTGGGGCCCACTGATATACTGTACCTGTGTAGGTCTCTTCCTATTGGCCAATGGCTTGCTAAATAATTGGATCTAGGGCTGGGATATAGCTGAGTGGGTCGAGTGCTTGCCTAGCATGCCCTCAGCCTTGGGTTTGATTCTGTGGTATTGCATTCCCAGCACTTGGGAGGTAGAGGTAGTCAGAACAGAAGTTCAAAGTCATCCTCACTACATAATGAGTTTGAGGCTAGCTTGGGACATAGACACTTTTTAAAAAGAAATGGGTTTATGCACTCTTATACACAGGTACATAGTTATTTTTTTCCATCTGTTTTTTCATTGGCAAGAGTAGTCATTTTCTTGGCAAAGATGACAGCAGCCAGCTTGTATTTTTTTGTTTATTTTAAAATTGCTATTTTATATAATGACTTAAAATACCAGAATTTCTCTGATATTTTGGGGGGAACTGCTAATAATAGTTTAGGTGAGTTTTTTTCTTGTGCAGCTAATGTATCCTAGGAAAGGCTTCTGAATGTTCTATCTGAAGAGCTAATTAACTTCACAAATGCCAAGCTCTTCTTGTTTTCATTGTCTGGGTAGCCACAGGCCTACATCATTTCCCTGTCTTTTGAGTAACCTCTGCATACTAAATTCTTAAGTAATTATAAGTATTTAATATCTTAGATTTGTAGATTAGATGTTTGTGTTTTGAAAGTTGGACCACCGTGGCTATATATATGTAAGAGGTGAGCTACATGACCTATTAAGTTATAGAAATCATTGTTCTCATCATCATTTTGTGGTTTGTTGTTTTTAATAAAGTATTTTTTTAAAAAATATATTATTATTAACAAATGTAGCTTGGTCTCAATCACGGTCAAATTCTCAGGAGCACTTGCATTGTTCTTATTTATTTCTGAAGGACTTCATGTGATATTAATGATCTGATTTCTTGAATTGTAGGGTTTGACATGCAACTACTTTTGGAAATTCTAGGCAGACTCACATGCTACCTGCTGTGTTTTTTTACCATCAGTGTGATGTTTGCAAAGTTTTGATGCTTTAAAAAAAAGGATGAATGAAGTTATATAGCAAATATCAGTTACTTAAAATGTTTGTAGAATGTCTCCCTGTGTTCTGATGCCTGCCTGTGGTTTCTGAACACTTCACTAGGGCCTGTAAGCTCTGACCATGTATGTGTAGGTGCTGATGGCCACTGAATGGTCTCAAGTGAAAGTTCTCGGCCCAGTGGTCTAGAGTCTCAGAATACAAGTCTCATCCACAGTCACTGGAACAGCTGGTCCATACAGTCACAAAACTGTTCTTCTCAATGATTGCTAGATTGACTCACTACACCTGTGAATGTTTCATGTACTGTCAGCTAGTGGAAGCATCTTTGTAGTCGGAAAATTTAGTAGGAAAGACTACACTCTCCTGTAAGCACTTTGCCCTTTACCCCTCTCTCTTCTCCTTTGTGGTGCTGGAGTTGGAGCCCAGGACCTGGTGTACACTGAGTAAGTGCTCCATCACCAACCTGGTATTTTTTTTTTAAGTTTCTCAGTGAAATATTTAATTATGGCAGCAAAGTTTAATCTTAGTTAAAAGATTAGGAGAATTTAATTTCAGGTATTTTTGAATAGCCATTTCATTTTTCTGTGTAAAAGCTACTGATTGGACATGAAAACGAACCTTTCCTTCCAGCTCCTCTACAAACCATATAAACTGAATGAAATGGCCTCGAAAGCCTTTAAGTTTAAAGACAGATATAAGTCATGAACTCTCCATAGATTCTTGGTAGACAATCTTTCACTCGTCATTTTCAAGTTGAAAGAGATGAATCTTGTCTTTGACCTTTTTCCCTCTTCTCCTCTCCTTGTCTGATATAGGAAAAGTGCAAGAAACTTCAATTTGCCAATGTGTAAAGCTGCCGCAACCACAGTGGTGGAGGTAAGAAAAGAGGCTTGTGATTTCCTGCTCTTGATGTTATTTATTTATTTATTTATTTATTTATTTATTTATTTATTTGTGGCACTAGTTTCCAGGAGGACAAGCAAGGAGAGTTCTTTTGTTTTACATATAGAGAGATTCTCTTAAACTATATAATTTAGATAGATACTTGTTGGCTGCTTTCTGGTCACCTATGCTCGCTAGAATGCTGTGTTGTCTTTGGAAATCTACTTGACTTCAACGGCATTTGGTGTTTGAACAAAATAAGATGAAACCCCTAAGATGAGTTGATAGACAGTCATGTAGTACCACATAATGACAAGAAATTGTCTGAGAAATGCATTGAGAAGTAATTTTGCTGCTTTGTACCTATCATAGAATGACTTATGCCAACCAACATAGGTACAATATCACTTATATGATCTTATGGAACCACTATAGTTCCATATATAGTCATATGTGATGCACAAATATATATGGCATTCTAGTAGAGTAGGAAATCATACCACTTGAAGTAGATTGGCTTATTGAGTTTGATGATGAGAATTCTTTAACAGGAGAGTTGTACAAATTGAATCCAGGCATGCACTTGACATTTTTGGGCATGATAGCATTTGAAAGAGGTTTGGAGTGTTACAGAGCCCTTTTAGACTTAAGTATTTGGCATAGAAATGGTTGCTTATACCAACCTCCTGTCATTGGGGTATCCATATGTGAACTCCAAAGGAGACTTCAAAATGATTCTCAACTTGGCTTTGAGGATCACCCTTGGAACTAACTGTTAATGAGAGTTTGGCATAGTCTTCCTTGGAAGACTATGTAGGAACCTACTTTGGGACATGGAAATGTGAATATATGTTCCTATTTTTTTTTTACCTGATGGTCATGTTGTGTGATATCTTTTATGTGGCATTTGGAACCACCCACCATTGGCTAAAATATTATTTCATGGTGACACTTCACTTTCTCTAAGAAAGCACAGTGTTTCCCGTGTTTTGGGGGAATGTGTCCTTTCCATCCAGTTTTATTTTTCAGTGATTTGGTATATTGCGTGCATCCAAACAGTGGATTGTGTGGCTTACCTTGTCTGTGTATCTTGTTTCTTATTTACTGAATCATCTTAATGACAAGATGTGACACATATCTGTAGTACTACTACTGAAGTTAGGGCTTTTAGTGTTGTGATTATACACTGTGACCAAATGCAACTTGAGGATGGAAGGGGGTTTATTTCATCTTATAGCTTGTAGCCCATCACCCAGGGAAGTCAGGGCAAGAATTTGAGGCAGGAACCCCAAGGCAGGAACTGAAGCATGGGCCATAGAGGAATAGTGTTTACTGGCTTTCTGTCCTCATGGTTTGCTCATCTTACTTTCTTACACAACCCAGGGCCACTTGTCTAAGATAGGCCCTCAATCAATCATTAATGAAGATAATACCCAAGAGATTTTCCCAAGATTTTCTCTTCAGGTGCTAGAGTTAAGAGCACTGACTATTCTTCCAGAGGACCATGGTTCAATATTCAGGAGCCACATGATGACCCACAATGGTCTATAATTCCACTTCCAAGGTATCCAATGCCACCTTCTAGCCTTCAGCTAGCTTTTAGCCAAGCACACATATGGTATAGGTATAACCACCCATATACTTAACATAATAATAAAAAGTTTTAAAAAGATTCGCTTTTCCCAGATATGTTTACATTTGTGTCAAGTGAACAAAAATCAGCCAACACAGAGGCTTATCACAAAGCTTAGCATAATGAATAGCTTAACACTGTCAATTAATTTTATAGATCTATGAGAAGTTGACATTTTCTTGGGTGGAATTATCTTTTAATTTTTAATCCACTATAATCTGATTCTTTTCAGCAAACCTTATTTTTTATAGGAGCCAAAATGAACTTTTTGGTGTTCAAGAGACAATGCAGGTAGCGAGAGGGTCTCTTTGGTTGTAAGAAGAGAGAAAGTTATTGAACGAGCCTGCAGGTAGACTGTCCTTTCCTGTTCCAGAACAGGAATCTTCACTCTGTCACAGCATTCTATCCTGGTCTACCCAGAACTACATCAACCGTGTTGATGTTGGTGCTGTGGGGCAGCCATTCCCAACTGATGGCACTGTGTGGTAGGCTAGCCACTAGCTCTGTGTGGTTTTTATGTTTGAATTAATTAAAACTAAATGCCAAAAGTAGCTGGGCAGTGGTGGCATGCATCTTTAATCTAGCACTTGGGAGGCAAGGGCAGGCAGATCTCTGTTTACAAACTGAGTTCCAAGACAGCCAGGGCTACACAGACAGACCTTGTCTTATAAAACCAAAAGGGAAAACAAACAAAGAAACCTAAATGTGGTGTAAGTTCAGTTTTTAGGCTATGTTAGTCACCATATAAAGGCTCACTAGCCCTTTGTGGTTGGCTGGCCACTCCTGTGTTTATCTACATCATGCTCATCTTGGGAAGGCTTCTTAAACAAAGCTGGATTAAAAGCTGATCAAGATGTGGAGCTGGAGAGAAGGCTCAGTGGCTAAGAACACTAACTGCTCTTCCAGAGGTCCCGAGTTCAATTCCCAGCACCCACATGGCGCACACAACTATCTAAAATTGAACTCTGTCTATAACCACAGTCCCATGGGATCCAATGCCCTCTTCTGGTGTGTATATGTGCAGACAAAACCATGTAAATACATGCATGCACTCATACATACATATGTAAGTAAATCTTATAATAAAAGGAACCACTATTCAATCATATACCATTCTGTCTTAGCAGTTTAAGCAAAACAGCTTGAGGCAATAGGAATATTTTAAACCTACCTCCTCTGTATGCTCTATATAAAAGGCCCACACACACTTAGATTAACTCATAAGTGTGTTCTCAAAAGTAGTAAATAATTTGGAATTGAATTTTTTAGTTTGAAATCTTCACATTTCAGATATGAAATTTTATTGTCACTTTCTGTTTGTTTCCTTCCATGTCTAGGGAGAACCCCGGAACTTTGTTTTCTCATTCCCCTTTGTGTTCAAAGTCCATTATCTTCCTTGCCCTTTAGACTGTGTCTCTTTCTTCTAGCGCCACATGACTGCTTTGTAGTAGGCTTGAGTGGGAAGGATGCTTGCGTATTCACCAAAAGTGTGACATTTAAAAGAAACTTGAAAGATCCTTAAATTCCTCATATTGTTCTGGATGTTAAATGTTGGCCATAATGATAATTAAAAATATATTGTGCGCCAGCCACTGCACATTCTTTCCGGGCATTGTTGTTTTTAATTACATAGCCAACTGGAGCCACAATAGGATGACAGCATTTGGTCTTTTCTATTGTGTTGTGTAAATGCTTCACGTCACCATAAATGGATAAAGTTTCAAACTCTTGAATGGTATTGAACCTCCAGGAGCACAGATCGTTTCAGTGCTATCAGAATCAAGCAGGTTTGGTCTTGTTGTTCAATCCATCTGCAGCTTTCTTTGCCACCTATACTACCTACCTTAAAGGTACTGAGGAAACTGTTATCCTGTGAATAGTAGCCCTCTGAATTCACTCAGTTTCTCTTAGATTTTGTTCTTTCTATTGATTTTTTTTTGTCATTTTCCCCAAATCTGGTGATTGGAGGTCACTCTAGTCCTGGGAACAGTATCTCACACAGTAGGCACTATTGCCGTGGCGGATCCTATATTTCAGATAGCAAAGACAAAGATAATTGTTGTAGCTGTGTTTATAGAACAAACCATCTTTGAACACAAGGCCTTCCTGCCTCCATCTTCCAAGTATTTGCATTCTGTAAATCATGTACCAACATATGTAATAGTTCATCAATGATACATGTTTTGTGCCAAGCAATGAGCCAGCATGTATATGAAAAAGAGAAAATCAAATCAACTTTGATATTATTTCTACCATATATAGGTAACAGTGCTGCATTTTGGGATCTGCTTTCTCTTTTTGATGCATTCTGTATGAATTTATGGCATATAAAAACAAAGAGGTGAACAGTGATGTGTGGGTATCATCACACTTACCTTTCTGAAAAGGAGCAGCCATCCATTTGAGTGTTTCTCTGCGAAGCTGTAGCCCAGTCAGTTCTGGTTGTGTCTGTCTGGCCCTGTGAAGAAACTGGGTGATTATTTGAGAGAAACAGTAAAAGTGGGTACACATGTTGGCACATAAGCCAGAAAGATGTTTCCCTTTTTAGCCCAGACTGTTATTTCTGGACTTCCCTCTGTCTGAGTGGGTGAAGTCTTCCCTGATGATCTTCACAAGTTGATGAGTAAAACCATCCCAGGGTGCCTCCTGGGTGTTGCACTGCATGTGTGTAATGAGGAGCAGCAAGGGCTGTCTAGTCTCCTAGGCTGGCTCATTTGAGTCTGTCTCACGAGGACTCTTGTCAGCCTCCAACTCCTCACTACACCTTCTCCCAGTCTCCTGTGTGCATAGCATGCTCGATCCTGGCCTTTTCTCTATTTATTTTCCTGTTTAACATATATCTAGAGGAGAGCTGGGAGTGCTTCATTAGGAGATCATTGATAATTCAGTCTGCATGCACGTGCTGTCTTAAAAGGTCATCTGACTCAGCCACCTAAGGCTGCCAATGCTGCCTGTGACCAAAATAACCTGGCTGTTTTTCATCTTTCTTTTATTTTTTGCTGTGTGTGAGTGTATGTGTCAGTGCCTTCAGCCTGTGTACTCTAAGTGTATATGTGGCTGAGCATGTGTGCCAGTGTCATCAGCCTGTGCTCTGTGTGTGTGCGTGTGCCTTTGTGTATGAGTGTACGTGTGTGCCCATGCGGTCAGCCTGTGCTGAGGTTGATTTTATAAAACAAATGTTTACATATTGCCCTTTCAATTATTTTGATTAATTTTGAATTTTTGTTACAATAAGTATATTCATTTTTCACAACCTAAATTCATTTCTATTATGTAGTATTTATATTATGGTATATTGACATAATTGAATATGAAAAAATTTGTATGCATAACAAGATAATAGATACACACAAATATAGAC